GGCAGTGCTGGCCCCGGGATCGAGCGTGGTGGCGCATGCCTGTAATCCCAGCACCAGGGAGGCTAAGACAGGAAGATCACTACAAACTGCTTAGCGAGACCCTGTATCAACAAAAAATAGAAGTTAAAGAATGAAATACACGGAGCCTGAGTGTGTGGCCGCACTGCTGCTCCGAAGAGCCTGGTGACCAGCTGCCGTGCGCCGACCTCTGAGAGGACAGCTCCCGCGGGCTATAGGGAAGAAGCGCAGTATGGGAGGAACGCCTGGGAGCTCAGGTCAGGTCGCTCCCTAACTTGATGACTTTATGACCCCTGGCATCATTAAACCTCAACGAACCACATCTGGTAAGTGAGACTAGTAATTACTGGTACCTTGCGACATGCCTGTGAAGATGAGGCATTCATACAGTGAAGGCATTCAGCAAGGTGCCTGGAACTTTTCAAATGCTCAGTGGAACATCAGGAGTTGTCTCGTGGGGCAGTCCCAGCAATCCAGGGGCCAATCGCAGTATCCCAAATGAAGACGGGGAAATCAACAGACTTGGACAGATTTAGGGGGCCACCCACTCACACAGCTCCAGATAATGCCAATCAACTCTGTCCCAGAACTGGCCCACCTCGCTCTCTGTCCCTGGCACCTTTCTCTCCCACGTGCTGTCCTAGGGATGGTGTCTGTCCTGGCTTTAGCAGCCACTTGATTTCTGTCACGATTGTTTCACAAGTCCTAGCTTCATTTGGCCAAACCCCACCCAGCCAGTCCCCACAGAGCCCTGTGGGGTTCCTTCTCTCACCAGCTTCCGTCTACACTACCCCACGGAAGTGCCAGTTATTTCACTAACCTGGGGTTTTCAGTGAGGTCGAGATTTAAATGAAGGCTGGCGGCCCATGAAAAACTGCTGTGTAGGCCTCTTTGGCCAGTTTAGGTTGACTGCAAACAATATAGTGCCTTGCTATTGTCTTTAGGAAAGAGTTCTCTTTTCTCTCTTTTGATTTACAGCCCACGGCGGCGGACTTCAAATGCCTTATCAAAAGGGACGACAGTTCTAATAAATACTGCAGTTGCCCAGTTGCTGGAAACCATGTTTGAGATATCGCCTTCGTTCTGTCTCACTCCAAAACTAGGTTTCTTGCTGAGACATCTCTTCCCTCCAGGGCCAAATCCAGCTACCGGAGCTGTTTATTTATTGTGCAGGGGCTGTTTTACAGATACAGTGGTATGGGACCTGGTGGCCCTTGAGACAAAAATCCTTTACTAGCCAGACCTTTACAGAAGAAGCGTGCCAGTCCTGGACCCAGAGCCCAGCTACCTGCTGCATCCTTGCATCCCCCACTGCATGGCCAGTTTGTTTGAGCTGGAATTTCATTCATCTGTGCATCTTTAGGAAGAGTAAGCATGCTTCTTCAGAAGGGGCTCAGTGCTGGTTAAATCAAGTAGGAAATGAAACTCCCCCCGGCAATCTTAGGCCCGTCCATTCCGATCCCAAACCAGGCCTCAGAGCCAGTACCCTCTGCCTGCTTTGGAAGCTGCATGGTGTTTCAGCCAGTGAGCCGCTGCGTCAGAGGCCTGAGTGCCTGCCTCCCTTAGGAGTAGCTCAAAGACCTTGAACTGTCCCCCACTGGAGAAACATACTCTCGCTGCACGCTCCTGTTAGGCCCTTGAACGTTCTCTAGGCAGACGCCTCTGAGTATAATCATTACAGTAAAAAAAAAAAAAAAAAAGGAAAATTACTCCTATATCAGGATAAACAACAATATAATTTTAGGACAATCCCAGGGCCAGTGAGATAACTCAGCAGACTAAAGTGCCTCCTTAGGCAAGCACAGGGACCGGAGTTCGATCCCCACACCACCTGCTGTGCCAGCCCCATCCCCAGGCACATGGAGATGGCCACCAAGACTGGGCATAGTGGCACATGCACTGGGCCACCACATTGGGCATAGCGGCACATGCCTGTAATCCCAGCACTGGGGAGGCTGAAAACAGGAGGATCACCACAAGTTTGAAAAGCATAGTGAGACCCAGTAACAACCAAATACATTTAAAAAAAAAAAAAAAAAGACTATGCTAGTTATTATCTTTTAGTTTCTTTCTTTCTTTTTTTCTTTTTTTTTTTTTTTTTTTTTTTTTTTTGAGACAGGGTCTCACTGTGTAGTCCAGGCTGGCCTGGAACTCATTGTAATCCTACTGCCTCAGCCTCCCAACTGTTGGGATTGCAGGTGTGTGCCATCACCCCTGGCAATCCCAGTTATAATTTTAAGACTTCTGTAAGGTATGTGGGATCAATGAAGATAGGCATCATCTTTGCAAAGAAAATTTTAAGATTTTAAGTAGGGACATTTGAAAATAGTCTGAGTAAGTGCGGAGATGGACCATGTTTGTGGGTCCGGACATTCAAAAAGACTGCAGCTCACAAGGAAGGAGGCTGCCTTTCTCTCCTCAGTTCCCAAATACTCTCTTCCTCTTCCCTAAATACAAAGACTTATTTTTTAATGGAAGGAAGTAATGTCCAAGTGTTTCTAGTGGCAGCTGGTTTAAAGAGTGATTTCTCAATAAAATAATTATCATAAAGCATTTTTAGCTAAGAGCTATTATTACTGTCACTTTACAGAGGCCCAGAGAGGTTAACTGGGGCACACAGTAAATCTGTGATGGGCACACAGTAAGTCCGGGATGCGGCCAGGAAATGAACGCAGACAGCCCGGGTTCAAGTGCAGATGCTGAACCCTGCTCCCTGCTGCTGTTGAGAGGTCCTCCGGGGCTGTCCCTCTCGCCCTCCTGCTTTCTCAGGAGCTGTCACAAGTGAGGGGAAAGGGAAGTTGTGGTGCTCTCACCGTGCGCCGCAGGGTGTTCTGGGAAATGGAGCAAGAGGCTGAGAAGCAGGCTCCGGGTCACCAAGAATTCTCTCTCGGCTATGGGGAGACTTTGCTCCTGGAGCCTCCGCCACAGTCAGCTCCCTAGCAACTCCAGGAAGCCCTTCCTTTCAGCCTGGACGCCAGTCCCTGCTCCCATGAGCCTGCTGTATTTTCTTCTCCTGGTCTCCATATGGAAACTGTTCAACAGTCCCTGTCCCTGGCATCGTACCCCACACGCCATAGACAGCCCCTACTTCCTGCAGAAAACCCTGAGAGGCAGGGAGGGAGGCGGCCTGAGCCGGAGCCTTCTGCCTGCCTCTGCTACCCGTAACCTGGGCAAGTCCCTGTGCCCAGCATCAGCATCCATGGGACGTGTCTGGCTCGCAAATGATGCCTCATGAGGTGGGAGGTGCTGTTGTATCTCAGTAAAGACGTATGCACAGGCCTCAAGGAGCTCAGCTTAGAAAACTACTTATTCAAGGCGCAAGGCTATCAGGCCTAGGGCAGAAGGGTAGTGTTTGAGGGACTCAGTGTGAGAGGCTTCCTAAGCTCCAATCTCAGCTCCTCTGTGTAGCTGCTGTGTGTACTGAGGAAAGCAGGCAAGACCACTGCCTCCTCAGCGACACCCACGCTGTAGCCTGGAACCTGGACTTTCCACTGGCTCAACTGCAACCGGAAGTTAGTTATGGGTGGAGTGAAGGTTGCTGTGAACTGACCTTCAGATGGGAGATTATCCTGGGATGTCCGAGTGGGCCCCGTGTGACCCCAACAGTCCTTAAACATGAAAGAGGGGGTCGGAAGAAGAGGTCAGAGTGATGTGAAGTGAGAAAGACTCAACTCACTGCTGCTGGCCTTAAAGACAGAAGAAGGGCATCAAGCCAAGAAAGGCAGGCAGCGTTCAGAAGGCAGGAAGGCAAGGAAAGTCACCCCCAGGGCCTCCACAGGAACGCAGCCTACTGACACCCTGATCTGAGCCCCAGGAGGACTCGGGCTTGGGCTGCTGATATACAGCATGTCAGATCACTAATTTGCATTAAGTGATATGGTACAGCTGAGATCAAAAGGGAATACCTTACCTAAATCCCACAAATCTCGTTTTCCTCACTATAAATTGGAGATGACATCCGTAGAGAAGACACAATGATTGAATGAGGTATTGTATGCAAAAAAGCCTAATACAGGGTTTGCTCAGTTTTTCTTTTCTTTTTTGGTGGCACAGTGGTGGCCTGGCAAGCATAAGGTCCTGAGTTCCATTCCCAGTCCAAAAAAAGAAAAAGCAACCTCATTTTCATTCTGACAGTCTTCCCACTTCTTTCACCTTCCCATTGAGAGGTTCCGTGACTTTCTCCCTAGACAAGCCCACCCAACCTCCCTAGGCCGGGCATTCCTTGAGGGGTGGGCATACCTGCCTACTTATTAGGAATCTTCCTCCTTCCTGGAAACTTTCAGCCCACCCTTCTTGGCCTTCCCGCTTTCTGCCATTATGGTTTCCATGGAGATGCTTCCCTCCACCCAAAATCTACCGTATTCATAGGCAGGGCTTCAGGAGGGTGATTGGATTGTGGGGCGATACAGCTGACAAGATGTTGCCTAGTTGGAGGAAGCAAGTCACTGGGGATGTAACCCAAAAGTGTATATCCTCATCCCAGGTCCTCCCTTCCCCCTCTGCTTCCTGACCGCCCTGATGTCAGCAGCGTTCCTCTGCCCTGGGTCTTTCTACCATACTGTCTCTACCTTGGAGCCAGCCAGCTGACCTCTGCTAAAACAAGCCTCTTCTCCGTTAAGTTGTGGGTGGCAGGTATTTTGCCCACTGACCATTATTCAATCTCTGACACTGAGACTGAGAGGCAGAGAAGGTGATGGGATTCGGAGTAGTACCGCACTGTCCCTGGAAACATCTCCTTTGCCAGAAGACGAGGGTGTGCGCCTGGTGTTGAGCTGTGGTGTTCCTTGAAAGCTAGGCTTAGGCAAGTCTCTTTGCACAGCAAACAAGGCCCTTGAGCCCCATTGTTGGGTTCCCATTATGCACCCAGAGAACAGTCTGTATTCTGATATTGGATTGACGGAGGTAAACACGAGAGGGAAATCTCCACTCCTCTTCCCATAAGGAAAGAAAAAAGACCCCACAAAATGCAAATTTAACACATTTATTAGTATGAAAAAGAGAGGAAAAAAATAGGCAAGGAAGTCCCAGCAGCCCTAAGCGGTACACCTCACCTGTCTGAGCAAGGCTTCCCCTATACCCTTGGGGCTCCCAGCTGTACCCACCCCAGGAAAAACTTGGAATCTGCCCACTTACAAGCTGGTAGGAAAGCCTCTAGGGCTGTATACTTTAAGCCATTAATTTTAATGATGTATGCAGATTAGTAAAATGAAGCAGGATATATATTTGCCATGCATCCCCGAGGCAACCGTTGGCATGCCCACGAGGCTTGCAGCGTCTTGAGGGCTAAGGATGTAGGCTCTGCAGTTTAGATTCAAATGGAAGAAGGAGCCTTGGCCTGTTTTAGCATCACCCGTGTCATTGCCTATCCAAAGCACCTGGAAGAAAATCAAGAAACTGCTGTGAGGGTAGTGATATGGGTGAAGGGAAGGAGGAGCAGGAGGAGCAGGAGCAGGGGAGGGGACTGTCATCTTACAGTGGGGGAAACAGAGACGTCAGGCATTTTTCCCCGTTCAGCTGATGACTAGGGGACCTTGCATTTGACCCCAGATCCCAAGCTGCCATGTCCCCACCTCCAGCTGTTGCATCCTTTTTGTGCAGGGGGAAGCTGTATGGCGGGCTCAGAGGACCCACGTGGAGGGGTCACACTACCCAGAAAACTACTCAGATGCAGAAGAGGAACGTGGGAGAGGGGGCAACTTCCCCTGAGTCACAGAGAGAAGACAGAGAACCTAGAGCCCAGCTCTGGTCAGACCTGAAGGCAGAGCCCCTAACAAATCCATGGTCCTGCTTTCTGGAAGGAGCCACGTGAGAGCTTCCAGTAATGGAAGACGATGAAAGTCCTCCATACAGGAGAAAGCATCGGCCCGGGAGTTAGGAGCTGAGCCCAGGTGTACAAGAACACTGACCAGCCCCGGACCCCGGGCTGCAAGGACCCAGGGAGGGATGTCAACCCCATCCCTGGGCCTCATATGTAAGAATTTCCAGTCCACTGTCAGTGGAGCAACCTCTGTCTCTCAGAAATCCCCTCACAGGGCTCCACACACACACCTAGGACCAAGCAGAGAAGCCACAGAAAGCTCAGATGGCTTCGAGTCGTCAGGAGCCCTGCATACCAGTGTCTGCCTTGCGTGAGTTAGGAGCTCCACCGTGCCCAGTTAGCTCCTCCAGAAAACAGGGTTAAAATGCACACCCTGCTACCAGGGTCAAGGGAGGGCACAGCACCCTGGAAATTACAGCCTGCTGCTCTGCGGGAGGGTCCCTGTGCCAAGTGACAGTAGCACAAAACAAAGACCAACAGGGATAGAAGAGAGGATGAGGCATCAATGATGTCCCGTCCTGCTTGGTCCATAACCATTGCAGAGAAGGGATGAAATTCCCTGGGCTTAATAGACTGTGCTAGCTATGTAATAGGATTTGAAAGGGGAATAAGGCAGTGACAGTCGGGGAGAAGCTGTCTACCTCACCTAGGGACAGGAAGGAGGGTATGCTGGGCAGAAGCAGGGCACAGGAAGAGCCCCCCCAGGGAAGAGGGGAGGCAGGTGAGCTGTGGAGTTGCCACAGGAAGGCTGTGGGGAAGGGCAGGAGAACCCAAGAGGACAGGTGCTGACCCTAGTCATGCTAGTGATAACCGGCGAATGTCACAGGTCACAGATCACAGGTCATAGGTCACAGGCCAGAGGTCACAGGTGGTTTCCTGACCACAGCTGGACAGACCCAAGTCTCAACAGCCCTAATTTGGATTTCATAGTCACCTTTTCTGGGTGGCAAACACAGTCCCCTCCATCTCCTCATGAGACCTCTTGGTGACCAGCAGGCCCCCCTGTGTTCCCCATATTCCTCTCACTGGCTCCCTCCTATCCCTCCTGCCTCACTCTTGCCACCCCACAGCTGTGCACAGCCAGGTCCTGGCTCCCCCAGCACCCCATCCCCACACTCCCCCACCCCAAAGGGCGGCCTGACACCTACCTGGGGGGCTTGGAGCCCTACACTGGGTACACCATGTTTCTGTCACAGTGGGGCTTGCAGTGGGGGTTCAGCCAGTGCTCCAGAAACTGCTCCTCAGCACGGTGCTCCAGGATCAGGAGGTGGTGCAGGTACTCCTGTGGGGACAGACAGACCCAGGCTATGAGGGAGGCCACCAGTGTGCAGGGAGGGCAGAGTGACTCTGCTTCCTGATGCATGAACAGCACAGCCTGGCCCAGGGAGGGAAGGAGAAAGCACCTAGGTCCCTCGGTGGGGATGACCAGGCAGGCCCACCCACCAGCAGATAAATACGGAGGCCCGATGGACAGCAATGCTGGGGAGCCCACTGTGGGAACTCATGAACACCCCACTGCACGGTGTCAGGGACCAACCACTGTGGAGGGTGCCGCACTGCCTGCAATCCAGAAATGAATTCACCACTAGTTTATGCCCCACAGCAGCGGGCCTCCAGCAATATCAAGCAACAGAGTCGCCTGAGGCCTTTGGAGACACAGGAAGAGCACCAGTGCTAGATTCAGCCCAGAGGTCTGGGGCAACGCTGGACATTTCGCACTTCTAACAAGTTGCTGCCCCCACCTGGGTCCACCTTCTCTGTGGGGCCAAGAGAGAGTTACAGCACAAGCGGTGTGTGAGGCTGTTCATAGCCTGCCAGGGCATGGTGGTGCACGCCTGCCATCCCAGCAGTTTGAGTTAGGGGGGTTGCTGAGAGTTCGAGGCCAGCCTGGGCTACATAGTGAGTTCAGGACCAACCCAAACTATGTAGTTAGAACTTATTAAAAAAGAAAAAAAAAGAAAAAGAATGCTCATAGCCACAGTGAAAGGGCCGAGTGTTGGGATAGGCCATGTGTCCAGGGATGGGAGGATAAGCCAAGCGGTGATGGTAAGTCAAGCAGTAGGAGGTCATTCTGCAGTGCACGTAGCTAATTATGGCTACTTACAGCAACAGAGGCAGCTCTTAGAAGTAGCATGTTCAGCAAAAAGACCAAGTTCAAGTAGATGACATTTGTAGTGTGATATTTTTTATAAAACTCAAGGGGCTGGAGAGATATCTCAGCAGTCTAAGCACCTGCCTGGCAAGCACAAGGAACCAGGTTCAATCCCCAGTATCACATACCATGTTGTCACTGAAACTGGGTGTGGTGGCGCACACCTATAATCCCAGTACTGGGGAGGCTGAGACAGGAGGGACACTACGAGTCTGAACTGTGTAGCAAGACCCTGGGCCAAATAAATAATTTTTCAAGTCAAACATTAAAGCTAAATCACATAATATTTATGGCTACAGGCACTGGGGATCAAATCCTCTCTTTTATTATGGTGTTTCAGGGGGGTTTTTTGGGGGGGTGGTTGGGTTTTTTGGAGACCCTGGAGACAGGATCACGCTGAGACAGCGATTGAGACTGGGCATGGTGGCGCTTGCCTGTAATCCCAGCGCTTGGGAGGCTGAAAACAGGAGGATCACTGCAAGTCTGATCTACGTAGTGAAACCCTGTACAAAAGGCATAAAAAACAAACAAACGAAATGGTTTTTTTCAATTTTTATTTTTATCCGTACATGTTTCTAGTACGTAATTAATTACCCTCATCATGGGGAGATGGTACATGTCCGTAAGACTTCTTCTTCTTTTCATTTCCCCTTTGTCATCCCTTCTTCCCTCTTCTCACCACGGAACATTATATGACAGTGAAAAGGAATGACATGCTAATGCATGGATGTGTGAGACAGCATGGTTAGGCCTTCGACAGGTTATGCTAGTGAAAGAAGCCAGGCACAAAGGCCACACAGCAGCAGGAAGCCGCTCCTCGTCAATCCCATGAGCCTCTGTGCCCAGCACCTCCCAAGCCGGGACGCTGATGTCAGCGTCTCCCCCACTGTCTAGCTCACCCTCATCCTCAGCGTAAGGACTTTGAGTCTGACAGCTCTCCAGCGCCCCCTTTCCGTCCCTGCCGCTTCCACAGGGCAAGTCTCCCAATGTCCAGCGAGGAGACTACCACCTCCCGGTTCTAATCTGTCACTCAGCCTCGAGTTCCTCCTACCATCCCTCTGGCCATTCACAGTGACCGGACACCACCGTCCTCAGAGGCCTACACCAGCCCACCTGCCTGCCAGAGGCATCAGGTGACAGCCACGCCCTCCGGGGTTTGTCTGCGGTTCTGCCTTCTGCATCCACCAACTATTCAACCAACCAGATTTAGGCCTATGATAGCTCTATCTGTACTGCGTTTACACAGACTTCACATTTTTGCTGTTATTCCCTCAACAATATAATACAGGGCCAGCCAGATAGCTCAGCGGATTAAAGCACCTGTAAGCCATGCCAGCCCCATCACTGGGGCACACTGAGACAGCCACATGAGACTGCGCGTGGTGGCACGCGCCTATAATCCCGGCACTTGGGAGGTTGAAAACAGGAGGATCACTACGAGTCCAATCTAGGTAGTGAGACCCTGTAGACCTTGTATTAAATACATTAAAAACTAATATACTACAGCAATGACTTACACTGCATCCATGCTGCATTAGGTATTGCTAAGTAGCCCAGAGATAATTTGAGGTGCACAGGTAGGTGTCTGTAGATTATACGCAAATCCTTCTCTATTTTCTATAAGGGACTTGGGCATCCTCTGATTTTGCAATCCATGGGGACTGTGCATACTTATGGAACCTGTATTTGTGAGCCAGCAAGTGGGGAGGGAAGCGACCTGTAGGATCGGCTGCCTTCCCCCAATCTTTCCGCAGTAGCGAGGAGGCCCCTCCAGCTCTTCCCATAGCTACCATTTGCAAATCAGCGAGCTTCTCTAGAACTATGGTGTCTCCCTCGGGTGTTTCACCTGAGGGCACTGTAAAGATGCCTACCACTCAGAGCCACATGAGCAGCTTAAGGGACTTACTGAAGATTCTTCTGGCAGCCAGAGAACTGGCAAAAGAGCCACCATGGTTTATATCTAGACGTTCCCCCCAAGTCTCATGACTCATCGGTGGTACCTTTGGGAGGTAACTGGATCACAGGTGTGTGATGACTGGATTCATCCACTGATTAGGTTAGGACAGTTGTGGATGTGGGTGATGGGAGGGCCCTCTCTGGGTGTGGGAGGCACCAACCAATAGCCTTATAGCCTGAGTGGAATAAAAAGGGAAAGGAAGGCTAGCTGCTGGCTGCTGGCGTGTGCACACAACATGTGCTGTTTATCCTGTGATGCCACCCTGCCTCGGAACCAGCCGACTGTGCACTGAAACCTCTGCCAACTGTGAGCCAACACAGAGCTTCCCTCCTTGTAGTTGTCGGGGATTTTGTCCCAGCAACAAGAAAGTGACTAAGAAGGAGGCCATCACATGGAGACCTGCAGCTCTCAGGGGAGAAAGTGTTAGCGGAACCTCTCAGACCTTGAGCGTGAGGGTGGGCAGCTCCAGTCCTGGACCGGGAGCTGTTCTGCCACCAGAGCAGAACAGGAGGAACAGGGGCAGATACCCCAACTTCTTTCTCCTCCTGCCTTCAGTCTTCGGCTGAGCTTGATCTGAAGCCAAGTGAGACAGCCCGCCGAGGTCAGCCTCACACTAACTGATGTCTGAATGCTGTGCTTATGGCATGTGAGCCAGCACAATAGCATGCAAGAAAGCTGGCTAGACAATCCAGCATAACAAGCCTTTCACCAGAAAAGCAGTCTGCACTTTGAGAGAGAGCAGGCACATTGGATAATGCAGTGTTTTGGGCAAGATTTAATTATTTGAGCTTGTTTCTGTAGCAGAAAAATCTTCAGCCATGGAAACTCTCCTACAGCCTTGAAAAAGAGCCTAGTTCAGACCTTTAGGTCTTTCTGCTTCTAGAATGTCCTCTAGGAACTCTGCATTCTGTCTCAAATGGAGTCATTACAGCCTGCTTAGGCAGGGGCAGAGGCTGGGGTTCAATCCCAGTGTGCCAAGCCAGCCCCGCCCCCAGGGTGCACTGAGACAGGATTGAGATGGGATTGAGATGGGATTGACACACCTGTAATCCCAGGCTTGGGAGGCTGAAGATAGGAGACTCACTACTAGTCCAATCTACTGGTGAGACCCTGTAGAACCTGTATACCCTGTAGTCCCTGTACTAAATACATGAAGAAAAAAGAAAAAGAAAAAGAAAAAATACTCTTAACTTCACCAACAGCTACATCGCATAAAGATTCTTCTCAAAATTAAAAGTCAAGACTGGGAGTGGTGGCACGCGTCTGTAATCCCAGTGCTTGGGAGGCTGAAAACTACTATGAGTCCGATCTGTGTAGTGAGACCCTCTAGACCCTGTACTAAATACATTTTTAAAAATTGAGTCATTGCAGAAGACAAGAATATGCAGTGAAATGAATTATGAAGTATCCAACTTTTCTGAATTTTTCTCCCCCATCCCCAAACAGTCTGAATACGTTTGGTGATTGTTGTTGTTAGACTCATCAAAATACATGGGAAGTGAGACCTTGTGCAAAATACATTTTAAAAACTCAAGAAATAAAAATAAATAAACATAGGAAGTCCTGGCAGGGTGACTCTGGGTCAGCTAGGGTGAAGAGTAGCTGGTGAGAGGGAGCCTTGTGGGACCAACAGTGACTCCCCAGCTGCTTTTGGGACACGCTTGTGACTTTCGGGCTGAGTTCCTGCCCTGTCCAGGGAGTTTTTGGCCTGAAGAGTGGTACTTGGGGAGCACAGGAAGGCAGAGTGGAATCTGGTAAATGAGAAACAACAGTGGTCCAGCACATAGCTTCAGTGGCCAGCTATCCCACAGCAGCAGAACACTAAAGGAAAGGCATGCTCCCTTCTCCTCGCCTGCCTCTGTGCCAGGTGACATGGCACAGAGGCTCCAAGGTCTGGGTCCCTTTCAGATCTAGACCTGGCCAATATTGCTTTACCTCCCCAGTCTCAAGGTACCATCTGCAAGATGGGAATCGCAGGAATACTACTTCACGGGTTAGTAAGAGTTTCACCCCTCTGGACTGTTCTCTTCCCCTTTCCCCAGCTCTGTGTCCCAGGGCTAGGTGCTGGGCTTCTAATTAGGTTCTAGATGCTGTGGATTGTAATTGGGTTCAGCAGGCCGGGAATGGAAGGCAGGAGGGTGAGAAGCCAGAGAGTTTAGTTCCTGGCTGCTTG